CCGCAGTGCTTGCCGACCGACGGCTGTAACCAACCAAGGCGTATGAGAAACTCTTCATGTTGCCACTTGTTTGAGCGATCGCTCCGATTGTTGCCGTACCAATCAGACATGGCTTGTCAACAGAGGAGATCGGTGGGAGGATGTTCGAGCTTGGCTAGCTTCTGCACCTGGTGGGGCCCAACGGACTCAAGGCTGAACATCTGCGAGGCTCAGCATCCTGAGCAAAACAGAAATTTTCCAGCCTGTCACCTACTCGTTCAGGAGCTTGATTGTGTTTTTTCCAAACACAGAAGTCATTCGTTTGAACCGTACAGGGTTCAGCAACTGGTAGCCGATCAGGGCTCAATCAGATGGAACCGTACAGGGTTCGAACCGATCAGGGTTCAGTGCAGTAGGCACTCCTACCGTAGACGGCACGTTGAACGAATTGTTGTTGTGTTGCGGCGCCAAAATGGCGCCAGGATGCCACGCCCGTAGACAGTGACACCCACCAAAGCATGTCCTTAGATGCCGACACCTCCCCTTGGGAGGCATCGTAGCCGAGCATCCTTCCTCGTCTGACTGAGGTGTGCCAGCACCTGAGCGTTTTCGTCCTCAGTCAGTGACGGGTGGGGCCAACCTAAGCGGGCTTGCAAAGGGTCAACCGGCTGCACAGAAGGACGCCGGAGCCCTGGACAAACCCAAGCAAGGTGGTGCCAGCTTGGCACTGGCACCGCTTCGTTGGTGCACACCTGTAAAAGGCGTCGCTAAGAGCCGCACCAGTCAACACTGCCCTAGGGTCCTGACCTGCAGCTTTCTCGAAAGCGGCCCTGGCCAACTGCAGCCTAACTGAGTCGCAAGGCATCTGCGCCAACAGCCTGCTGTCACGGCGGTCGGCGGTCCGAAAGGACTGCAAGTTCCAGTCCGTCCAAGCCTCCCTCAGGACGTGTAAGACACGACCCTTGTCTTGTCTCACATCCAAGACTCCCAAAGAGTGCCGCCACTTCCAAGGCCTTTCTAAGCGGAAGCCCCAGCGAGTCAGCTGACTGTTCACAGTAGAGGCCCAGGCGTTCAAAGGCTGCGACCACGTGAGGCCCGCACGACGCACGAGCAGCTGTGCCGAGCTCGGTGACTGCTTGAGCCACAGCTCGAAACTGAGGACACTTGGCGTGCCCGTCCAGAATCAGCCTTAGTCCGACCGCGCTCTGGCGCTGCACGGCTCCGACCAAGCGGTAAAGCTGAAAGAAAGCACTGCGCTGACGGTCCTGGAAAGGAAGTAACCGGATAGTGCGCGTGGCAAAACGCTTACGCCGCACATCGACTCCTACGTTCGCTCGTGCAAGGCGAGCAGCCAGTAGCTTGGAAACGTGAAATGTCTTAAGTGACGGGTCTCCGCCATTCGCCTGTCCTGAAGCAACAAAATCAACGCCCAAAACACGAAGCTGAGCCCTGATTTGGTCCTCCCTAAACCCCGCCCGCAACAGCGCGTAGCGATGATGAATGGTCGGAGCCAAAGCAACACACTTGGACTGGCTCCCACGGAGCCCAAGGTGACGTGACCACCATCCCCATCTGCGCCAGCCCGCAAGGAGCCGTGGGACTGTAGCACTCTGTCGTCGAGAAACAGGGACTGCCGTATGCCAAGCCGCGCAACGTCGGTGGCAGCCGAGTTAAGGAAAAGCACCAAAGGCAGAGGGCTAGCCGGATCTCCTTGAGGTAAGGAGGATCCCGGAGAAGCCCAAGCAAGGTGGCAGGCCACGCATGGTTCCTCAGGAGCTTGAGCACCGTGCCAGGGTTGACAAGCACTTTTGGTAGTCGAGCGCAAGAGCAGGGCTGCCGGCAGTCAGCTCGGGAACCAGAGAAGCCAAGGCAGGGGTCACAGATCTTCGACTCAGCGCACCGTGACAGCACGGATGAGCCGTCGCCGTGAGCCACTGTTTCATGGCGTCCTGCTGCAAGAGGTCGGACATCAGCAACCTGTACCAGGCCGAAAGCACGGATATTGGTCGCAAGTCCTTCGGGGCCACGGGGGTGGCAGCAGCAGTTTCAGCAGTAGCAGCGTCCTTCCGAAGATGGACTTGTCGCAAGTGTGCCCAGACGCTAGGCCACTGGCTGCGCGCGGCCCACCCTAAGACCAACTGACGGAAGGCCTCGAAGACTGGCAGACCAACTGGTCTCCAAGCCAACCATCAACGCCGGCCCCTGAGCCAGCCATAGCATCAGCACGTTGCTTCAGAACTGCAGCCGCAGGTACCCAGTCATCAGTCAAGGGAGAGTGGTTCCTGAATCTGCCCTGCTCGAATTCGTCGTCAAGGTCGCGCTCAAACGGCACCTGTAGAGGTCTTTCCCAAATGTCACGCCAAAAACTGCGCAAGGCCTCGATGGCGTCAGAGATAGACGGCGCAAACGTCATCCTTCGTGGCCAGAGCCTGAGGCGGAGCCACGATGTGCTTACCCTTGATCCAGCGAGTAGCGTACTTGTCCATGCGGAACATGGCCTGCTTCCACAGGAGAAGGCGGCTGCTGTTGATGTGCTTTGTCTCAGCCTGAAGAGCCGTGCTGACGACGTCTTCGGCTGCACACCAACCCGGCCAAGCGAGTGTCCTCGGCCATGTCCTGTAGATGGACCGTATGAGCGCGGGATCCTGGGGTCTGTTTCCGTACTGACGATTAGCTTCCCGAAGACGCCCCAAAGCTTGCGGAGCCCTGGTTCCTTGTACGACGCGCTACGAGCCCCTGACAGCCGAAGCTAGGTAAGCTGCCCTTAGCACGTAGCCGAGGCCGCAAGCTTGCTTCGAACTCAACAGCTGTGGAAGCGAGAGCCTCCTCAAGCTGAGCACAGAACCCACGCCACTCCTCGTCAGCCGAGCGGCCTTGTTGCGCCTGAGTGCCCTGCCAGTGTCTGCCAACAGCTTCCTCCCAACAGTGTTTACTCACGCCTGGCGACGGGACGTAGCCGCCAACACCGCACCGCGCTACGTTGTAGGTCCTGGGCGGCCGGGGCAACAGCGCAGTCGATGGCCCGTTGGCCCTCCCACCTAGTAGGCTCAAGGCCCGCAGCAGTGCCGGACTCCAACTGTTCAGCCTTCACCGCTACAGCGGTGAAGTCAGAAAAGCAAAGGAGGTTCTCGCGAGGTTCAAGGTTCCAGTCACCTAAGAAGACTGTGTCGCTCTGACGAACGGCGGCGACAGTAGCGGCATCATTAAGGCAACCAAGCAGAAGCCCTTGCCCCTCGCCCGTTGGACGGCGGTGCAGCGAGGTGACGTACACTCCACCGACCCGCGCCGTGAGAGCTTGTCCATCAGCATCGCTATGCTTCATGACAAACTCTGCAGGAAGAGACACCTTAGCAGCGAGAGCAACCCGGCCACGAGTCTGGCCATTGGAGCTCTCCACATCAGTGCGCCAAAGGTGGTACCGCAGCCCGTGAAGCCTAGAGCGGACTCCAGGTACGTTTGCACGGGCTTACCGGGGGGGTCTT